AATGCATATCCTGTGGCTCTCAGCCTATGTACTGAGGCCACTGTTAACTCTACGAGTCATGTACTGAAGGTTTGTTAACTCGGGTACTCCGTACCCATGTGTGGAATACACCAGGTGTAAACCCGTGTAACCCCGTTACAGAACCAGCAGCCCCATTGCCGAAAAATGAGACGTTGCTGATGCTGCCGCTGGCACCTTCCTGTAGGGTATTGCAAAGACGCCCTGGCCACAGAGAGCGAGCTTGTAATCCTCGTTTTTGAAGAAAGAGAGAGAGAAAGTTGCTGATACCGTATCACTGTGATAATCAGAGGCTGTCTACCTGTACAGTAATTAAAAGGGCCATAGTGTATCCACACAAATCCTCTTTTGAGCATCGGATCTGCAAAGCCCTTTCTCAAGACCATCACTCCGACACCTTGAGCGGTTGGCCAGAATCCTCCCTCATTCAAACGGAACCAGCGGTCCCCAGGGATCTCAGCAAGGTCGGGAGCGCGGCGATGTCTGCGCGGCACGCTAACGTGGCCGTGGAAAGCGGTAGCGAGTTCAGCGCAAGCGCATCTGCCAGTGATGCCGATTTGGAGAGTCCAGAACCCCAACGCCATTAAAAGACGGTCTTCAGGTGTCGGGCAAGGTCGCAATAAACGTCGAAGATACAAGCAGCGCGCGAGTGACCGGAAGTCGCGTCGAGGCACTTATCGCTTACTGCCAGAAGGCTCAGACATTGAATGGGCAGAGAGACTTCGCCTTCGGATTCATCGGACTCCAGGGAACGAACTGTATCATCCGTTGTTGAACGCTGTGGAGATGATGTGTGTTCTGTTGCCGCCTTGGACGAGGTGTTAAACGCGCCAGAGCTTGACGTACGAGTGTTCCAGAGCTGGGCGGAGCTTGACGCTTACTTGAAACGTATTGCCGTCGAACATTCCAGGCTTGTATACACATATTAGACTGTGACCCAGTTTTAGACTGTGGGTACGTTTTAGACTATCTGTTCTAACGTATTCGTGATTTCTTTCGTATGTAGATCTACACGGTTCGTACTACAACTCCTGTCAGTCGGCGGAGTCAGAGGATGGGAAGAATCGATCCGATTACAAGCGAATTCCCGAAGAGCTTCGGTTCTACAACAGGACTTACGTATGCACGCATTCTGGGTCTCCAAGGTCGAGCTTCATTCTAAGTTGATGTAACTGTGCTTTTTATGCAGATTAATGCGTGTATACGTGAGGTCGGTGGTACCTGGGAAGTGTTCATTACCAAGCAAAACACTGGACATAACCACGATATCACCAGCGATACATACCAGACATATCACGAAGCGCATCAAGTGTCAGACGACGAGGTTCTGTCGACTGTGCATACGTTGCATCGAGATGGGGCAAGCAAAAAGCGTTTCCTGGAGTATATCACTGAAAATTCGCGCGTCGTACCTATGTTGAAAGATATTCATAACCTGGTGGAGCGACTAAAACGTGAGAGCTACGCTTTTCCATCGATTGAAGAGCGCATCCGGTCGATACTGGAGGATTTCTCCTCGAAACAAGGGAATCTGGCAAGATTTTAGTCGAATGCAGAGGTATGGATGATGATAATTATGATGTCAGTTGATTTAACATGGTGTTTGTTGTGATTCGGTAATTAGAACGTCGTTGAGTGTATCGGTATCCAGTCAACGCACATGCGCTCCATGTTCGAGCAGTTTCCCGAGGTGCTTCTCATCGATGCGACGCATGGCACAAATGCCTCCAACTACAAACTGTTTAGTTTCATGATCCGTGATGCCATGGGCAAAGGGCAGCACGTTCAGGTTCGTTTTGGATTTCGTGGAGTGCAGTAACAATACTGTGTTTTGTTTCCAAACTGGTACCCACTCTAAGTCTGTGTGTGCTTCTGAATCTTGCCTTACAGCACTGTATTGTGGAGGATGAGCGGAAGGAGACACTACGAATTGCATGTCAGCAGTTTAAGGAAGGCTGTCCGAGTTTCGGCTCCGTCGCTGTTATTATGATCGATAAAGATTTCACGGAGTTGTCGGTGTTGGAAGAGGAGTTTCCTGGTGCTCGTATCCTGCTGTGCCACTTCCATGTCGTCAAGTACCTACAGGAAGAGGTTTCTAAATAGTGGTACTCGATGCTTGGACAAAGAAGGAAATGAAACGACTGAAACAATACTGGTTGGGGCACCCACGGAGAAGGTGTATGACAGCATTATTACAACGATGAAGGTGGTTTTGCGTTCAGAGACAGCGAGACAACTTTGGTTTGATTATTTCGATACGAATTGGACGCCATGTAAGGAGATGTGGAGTTCGATCAACCGTGGAAATGTGCCACACATGGGCAATCATACAAACAATCGGTATGTACGCATATAATAGCGGTTTGCAGATGGCGTTGAAGATTGAACTAATATTTCTTTGAGTATTCGTAGCCTGGAACCAAGTTGACAGAAGCTGAAGTCTCTGGTAAATCGATCCACAGCCTCCACCTCTATGGATGATTTCTAAGGAAACGAAGAAGTCGGGCCGTCCGAAAGTGACCCAACGTGCTCGAAAGAAGGCGCTGAACGACGGTTTGCGCCAAACGTCCCGGCTGGTAGATGCTGTTGAATCTGGAGAGGCACCATCACTGGCAATTCTGTTGGAAGCTGTTCCCAATGGCCTTCCATACAAATTCGCAAAGGTGTTGAGGGCTCTGTCGATTCTACAGCAAACTCGAAAGGCAAAAATCACAGTATTTAAGCGGCGCAAAAAAAAGAAACGGATCCTGAAAAAGTGATGACTGTACTTCCGTTGCGAAGGATTGACTCCTGTGAAGCTCAGGTTGATCTATTTCAAAACCGTTGGTTTAGTGATCATGAAGAGGACATGCCGCAGTGTGGAGTTACGGTACAGACCGGCCGGGTTGTTTACGATGTGAAGATGCTAAAGGCAATGCGTAGCTGGCACACCGCCATGACGCACTTCCATGGTATCGAGAACGCTATCAAATGGGTGAAGGAATATGACGACACTCAGTACAACCCACAAGATCCTAATTGGTGTGATGGGATTCTGGAGAAGTCCGAGTTGGTAACTCTGTTAAACGAGGTGAATGTCTTAGGAGATTATTACGGGTCACTTCATTGAGCGGAAGAATTCAGTTGGAAGGTCCCTGTATGGATCTCGCACTCCAAACGATTATCAAGCGATTCAGTACCAGAGCTACCATTTTCACGGTCCCTGCTGATGTTCTACGTTTCCCCATATATGACACTGAGACTTTACCGACCCTGAACGTATGGAACGAGCTGAAAGAGAGTGCTGACAGTTTGGAGCAGGCAAGAGAATCGAGCGAAGCGATTCTGTTTTTGGAGTGGTTAATTACGAACAGAATCACTGGTGTGCAGTAGCAGTAAACTTCAATCGATCAGAAGTCAAAATCTACGACCCACAGCAGACTGGGGATAGGTTCAAGGCCTTTCAGAGGCACTTGACAAATATGATGCTTCCGCTGTTACCGGTACCAAAATCGCCGAAGCGGTACAGGTTCACTCAAGTGGAATTGTCGAAACAACTGGATAACTACAATTGTGGTGTATTCGTGCTTCTGTTCTTCTACCTTTGTCTGCTGGAAGTGGAACCTGTTAACATGGAGGGGGGGGCATTAGAAAAGCGATGCAGTTCTTTCGCTATAGGTATCTTAGCCACATCTTAATGTCCATGTAATACATGTATTTTTTTGCACATTTTGTAACAAGTTACTGAATTATATGACCGGTCAGTTTATTTTGTACCAAGTTATTGACTTATTCGACCAGATTTCACATTAAATTATCACAGATGATCTACGTGTCGGATATTAATAGTTTGCTAACAGGCAAGTGACTTACGCAGGCATACACTTATGACTCATAAGTTATGAGTGGTGTTGGCTTTCTTGCGTCCTGTAGTCGATCGCTTACATTATTGGAACGAAAGACGAGCGACGAAGCTCCAGAACGACATTCACTCCTGTTTTCAGTATTTTTTGCGTCCCGTCTTGACCTGAAACGTGACTACAGCTGTGTGTGACTGTCTGACCAATCGTACCGGTTATAGCAATAAGCTGTGCACGACAGCTTCGGACTGGGCATTGTGTGCACAGTCCGTCATTGAGACTGTGCAGGTAGTCTCGGTCGTGATAATCACAGTCGTGCTGTGAGCCTTGCGATGGGTGATCTTGCCTCACACGCTAGGAATCCTAGTGGAACGAGGGAGCGAGCAAGTACGGATATTGTACCATGCAGTCGTTTGACGACGACAGGCAGCGCAAAGGAAGGCACGACCAGCCCGCGTGGTCCACGCGGCGTGGAAGGGCGAGTGAGTGATCCAGCACGACGTTGCAGCACTGATGCATTGCCCTTTGTTGGCCACTCTGTCACTGAGCCTGCGAGCGTTCAACGGTCCGCGTTCGCCCAGCTGGGAAATCAGAACTGGAGCAGCATCGACAGAGCGGAGGTTGAAGTGTCACGATGCGGCGAGCGCGGTTGACGTAGAAGTGTACTGTAGTGCGTCGATCATCGACCCGCAAGAAGCGACGAGTACAGCGATGGGCGAGGTGATTCCGGGGCTGCTGGCGGGTGCTGCCTGCCCGCAGCTGCACAGCTTCGCACGCATCCGGTGCCAATGGCACTACCATCTCTGCCTTCCTCGGAGGCTCAGTCACCGGCAGTCACTGGGGCACGTCAAATTTTCCCATTGCGCTGCAATTCGCAGCCAGCTACAGTACAGCAAACAACCAACAGTATCTGTTTTAAAAAAAATAGTAGTGCTTGCTTGTTAAATATTGTAGGGCTTTAAGGCCGGGTATTCTATCCGCTGCTGCTGTGCTCTACTCGGGCTAGTGTCGGCTACTGCTGCCTGGCTGTCAGTGCGGTTACTAACCTCACAGCGACTGTAATTGATATGCACTGCGGGGCTCGCGGCTAGCTGGCTGTAGTTGCCACTAACGGCGTCCTGCTGCTACTTGAGAAGTTCACCTGCTGCTAGTAGTAGCGCATGACTTGATTGCCTTCGAGTGAAGCTGCCTTCGAGTGAAGGAATGAGTCGGGCTTGCTTTGATTGGGAGCTATCGATGGCAGTCCGCTCGCTCATACCAGGAAGCGGCGCAGGATCTGCAGCTCGTCTGCGGCGAGGTCGCCGGCGGGTACCGCCGAGAACGCAATGGGCTCGAGCTGATTGCTGTAGCTGCTGCAGCAGCCCTTGGCATCGTCGTCGGCAGTCATGCCGTCCAGGTCGAGCGCGCTGGCGATGCTGGCCACCACGTGGCTCTCCCACTTGCTCAGGTCACTGCTGGCACGCTCCTCCGCCTTGGCCTTCTTCTTCGGAGAGATCACGAGCTCGTCAGCGCTGCTGCTGCTGGCGGAAACCTCATCGAGCGATGTGGGCGACAGCGTGGGGCGCTGCACCGACAGCGGCGACTTGGTGGGGCTGCCGGCCATCAGCGAGAAGAACGTCTTCGTCGTCGTTGTAGTAGTAGTAGTAGTTGTTGTTGTTGTTGTTGTAGGGGGCATGGCTCTGTCTGCGTTTGAATTGCAGTTGCTTTGGCTGTGAAGGCAAAGATGCGAATCGGAATATGAGCCTCGCATGGGCATGGCTGCTGGACGTTGCAGTTAGGTTGCCCTTTTGTGTCGTCATGCTCGCTGTGAGGTGAGATGGCTTTTCTGGGTCGCACGCGTCCAAATCCTGCTGCGCTTCTGCTCTCTTCTCTCAAAGCGCGACGTTGGACAAATCGCATCGAAACTCGTTCCAAAGTCGGCAGAGAAGGCTTGGTTGGTGGCGGGACGGCTGGCGGCGGCGGTGATGGCTCCGCACAAGACTGTCGCTGAAACGGGAGCAGCTCTCGACTCAGACGGGGGCCCTCCCCTCCCCTAGCCTGGCTGGTGAAACGTGGCGTGGATTGCGCGCGTTTTCGGGTGTTTCTATTGTCGGCGCCCGGGTTCTCGTCCATCGGGTGGCCAAATCGCGGTGAGTGGATCCATTCCGAATCGAAGGGTAACGCAGACGGGGCAGTCGAATCGACGCGCGATCCGCCGCGAAAGGGGGGGGGGTCATCAAAATGAAAGGACCGCCCTTATCCCATTTTGCTTGCTTGCTTGAGCCAAAAAAGCAGATGAGCTGTCGAGCTGGCAACAGGGCTTTGGCGCCCACGTCTACGGGTCGGTTCGCAGCACTGGGGGGGGGGGATACAAGTATCAATAACACATCTGCGAAAAATGAAGGCACCCCGGCCACGGACCAGAACACACGACGCGAGATCATCCACCGCTACCGGGTGGCTGTGGGTGCTTTGTACGAGCCTGATATCGCCACGAATAGGGAGCACAGAAGGCGAAAAAAGTCAGGGGCACATCGAAGATCGCTCCTGCGATTCAAGCCCGAAAACTCATGCTCGCCGGCTGGCTGACTGCCTGTCTGCCTGCCGATGAGGCAGTCAACCGCAAGAGCGGTCGCCAAAAAAAATGACGTACAACGCGCAACCAAAGCAGAGTACTAGTGGATACTCTGCCGAAGTTTCTCGCCGCTCTACGTGGACGACTTCTCACTGAGAACTTTTCTTGCCCTGCCCAACCCACCCACTCGCAGTTTCAAATTCACCGCCGGATTGCACTTGCTACGTGAGGATAGGAGCGCCATTTGCCGATTTCCAGCTCAAATTACGCACGCGTATTCATGAGTAATAATGGATCAGGACAGGAATTGAAATTCAAATTTCACCTACAGCTAGTGTTGTTTTTTAGGAGGTTTTTAGGATTTGTAGGGTACTTAACGTCTATTAACCGATTAGATAGCAGTTATTAATAATAAAAAGGAGCAAAATGCCCCTGTGTGGGCCACACATTGTGCACTACACTATTCTTTATTTACAACTCAACGCACGCACTAGCCCAGAGCCGTGCTGCCCAGAGGACTGTGCAATGTAAGACACTACCGGCCTACACCACGCACTAACCGTCACTCTGGTGACGGGGGAACAAGCCATTGATCACAATGCAGGTCAAGGGTGAGAGCAAGACGTTCAACCTCGAGGAGATCTCGTCCATGGAGCTGGGCGAGGTGGTTGAGGCCTTCATCACCAAGGGATCCGAGGACGCTATCTCAATGGCTCGCACCATCGAGCCACCAAGGATGCCGGCGCCATCGCTGGCCTAAAAGTTCTACATATCATCAACGAGCTGACGGAGAATCAGTATGCTCTTCATTGTTTGCGGGCTGCCTGCGAGCGTATTACGGCGTCGTCGTCGGCCAGGTTGCATCGAGATCTACTCTCTGTTCGACAGCACGGGCTTCAACTCAACCACCACGCTTGATCGTTTTGAGGACATGTGCGGCAACTACTTCCAAAGGTGATGGACCCCTTGGAAAAGTTGTTCCGCGACGCCAAGGTGTCCAAGAGCGAGGTGCACGGGGTTGTCCTGGTGGGCGGCTCCACCCGTACCCCAAGGTGCAGCCGCTGCTGTCGTACTTCGTTAACGACATGGAGCCCATCAAGTCCATCAACAGCTACGCGGCTGTGATCTACGGTAGTTTGCCGTTCTAAGCGGCAACAACTCGTCAGAGAAGCTGCAGGTACTGCTACTGCAAATGCGACGCCGCTATGCTAAGTATGGAGACAGTCGATTGAGTCACGTCGAAGCTGATCGCGTGTAACATGTCGGTGCCGGCCAAGAACTTGCAGACGTTCTCGATATAAGCGGACAACCAGTCTGGATTATTTATTTCAGCGTTCGATGGCGCGATACAACAACCTGCTGAGTGAGCTCAATCTCGACGGCGTCACGCATGGCGGACGAGTAACGGAGGCTAGCAGAGAAGTATTCACAAAATGAAAAACGCATCAGTTTATTGAGATCATGGTCAGCAGCAAATTTGTGAGTGTTAGTGTTACAGGAACGCCATGGCGTGCTATACCGCGGTACACACGACCATATCCACCATTTCCTCTTGGCGGACTTGCAGTTACTGAGATATGTCGACACTAACGATCGCGTCGAGAAGGTAGTCAAACTCGCGCTCGCTCAAATCGAACATGCAATAATCATCATCTTCATTGTCTGGATCTCTATCGCTGTC